TCATTAATTCCCTTGATATACTGGAAATTTTGTTCTTCCAGATGAATTTTGTTATTATTTTTTCTAGTCCTACAAAATAATTTTTGGTAGTTTGATTCATATGGCACTGAATAACAAAGTCATTCTTTATCATTTTCCTTAATCTTTTCTAACAGAGAGCAGCAAGGGGAACAAGGGAAGAAAGCCGGCTCTTTCTTCCACCTCCCATCAGCAGTTGTACCTTGTAGCAAAAGTGCATGGCTATTTAGAACACGTTCTTGCACAAAACCTAAGGGTAGGGGGACTCAAATCTATTGCTTCCTGAACCCCAATTTTCTGGGGAAAAGAGGAAGATTCTGAATTAACTGGACAATACAATTCCAGAATTTAGGTTTATGGCAAAGAAGGGAGATTTCTAGAGGGCAGCACCAGTTTTGAGGGTGGCCTCTTAGGTAACTTTGAGTCCAGGTTTCTGGGTTCAACAGTTCTAAACAATGAATCTTCTAGAAAGACAAGATTTCTTAATGTATCTTGCTTGTTGGATAAGGAAGACAGTCCATAGGATTAAGCAGTGTCCTATTTTGACACACACAGTCACTAAGGATTTCACTAGATTAAAAAGCTAGAGGCAACAGAGACAACAACCAAGCAATACCCAACAGCTGGTAAAGTCTTATCTAGAGAAGACTAAAGCGAAGTAAGCTGGAATAATGCAAAGACTTCACATCCCTGCAGCCCTGCTGCATCAGAGGAATGAAATGCCTTTCTTCATATCTAACTTCACTATGCTTTTACCTTTCTGTTCATAACCTCTATGCATATCCACTTTCTCCAGCAATGTTAAGTATATTTGCAGGAGAATGTGGCCCAGGTCTATGATAGGTTTCATTGCTAATTTTCTTGACATGCTATTTCAGTAAATTCCTTTGCATTGAGTTAATTGTGCCCCTGGCTGACTTGAAAAAGGCAAACATATTGATTCTGGTTAATGGGTTCTAGTTTTAGAAGTGTGGACCTACAGAGCATGTTGAACCTGGGGTAGCTACCTTCCATGGAATTCAATCTACACGTGTAGGAAGAAAGAGAGCCAAAAATTAACTTATATCAGTCAGGCAAAAAAATATAGATAAATACATAAATATACATATGTGTGTGTATATATACATATGTACACACATATACATACACATACATGCATTATATGTATACATTTAAGGTAAGAAACATAGCATAGGGAAATCACTGATGATAAATACAACAGATAAAAACTGTATACATTAAACATAAAGGAACTGATAATAATATTCAATGACAAAATCAAGCCCTTAATACATAAAAGAATATGAATGGAAAATTTGCAGGAAGGAAACATAAATTATCACTTGAAAAGATATGTTCGACCCCACTAGAAATCAGAGAAATGTAAATTAAAGCAAACTTAAGATTATACCTGTAAAAATAGCAGATAGTTAAAAATAATAAAACTCAGTATTGGTGTGGCTAGAATAAACAACAACATCCATATTCTGCTGGTGGGCCACAATCTCTTTGCACACCATTCTGATAGAGCACTCCAAAAGTTAGCAAAATAATCAGCCCATTATTGGGACTAGAACTCAAAAGGTTGACAAAAAGAAAAGAAAATGCACTAGGCTTAAAGATGTTTATAGGAGTATTGTCATAACAAAAAACCAAAGCAAAGCAAAAACCCCAAAAACCTAAAAGCCACAAAAACATGCAACAATTATGGAATGGTTGGATAAATTTGTTGTTCAGTTGTGTCTGACTCTTTGTGACCCTGTTTGGGGTTTTCTTGGCAAAGATACTGGAATGTTTTGCCATTTCCTTCTCCAGCTCATTTTACGGAGGAGGAAACTGAGGCAAACAAGGTTAAGTGACTTGCTCAGGGTCACACAGCTAGTAAGTGTCTGAGGACAGATTTAAACTCAGGAACATAAGTCTTCTGGACTCCAGGTCCAGCACTCCATCCACTGCACTACCTAGTTGTTCTCTGAATAAAATATGGTGTATCAAAGTAATAGGATACTATAATATAAATAAGATTAATAAGGATGAAGAATGTAAAGAAATTCAGGGAGATTCAAACTAACGTGAAGCCAAAAAAAAAATAGAGACAGAGAACATATTGACTATGACCATACAAAAGGAGATATATATATATATAGATAGATAGATAGATAGATAGATATAGATATAGATATAGATATAGATATAGATATAGATATAGATATAGATATAGATATAGATATAGATATAGATATAGATATAGATATAGATATAGATATAGATATAGATATAGATATAGATATAGATATAGATATAGATATAGATATAGATGTGGATGTGGATATGGATATGGATATGGATATAGATATAGATATAGATATAGATATAGATATAGATATAGATATAGATATAGATATAGATATAGATATAGATATAGATATAGATATAGATATAGATATAGATATGGATATGGATATGGATATAGATATAGATATAGATATGGATATGGATATAGATATAGATATAGATATAGATATAGATATAGATATAGATATAGATATAGATATAGATAATGTATGTATGTATCTCAGATATATATGTATATACACACACACACACACAAAAGGATATATATATCTCAGAAAGAATGGGCAAAAGGAAATGAAAGGAAACACAGAGGTATTACTTGATGAATTAATAACATTTAGGTTAAACTGACATATTTAATAGTAAATACTTATAAAATATATTTTATTGGTTTTGCTAATAGTTAAACTTATTTATTCATGAATCATTTAATTTTTTTTTTAAATTAACCAGCCAGCTTCAATTCCTTTCATTCTGGTCATCTAACATTCAATTAACCACTTTTTTTCTGGGCTTAGTGCTAATCACTCTTTGGTGTTTTTTCTTCCCTGGACATCAGAGTACTGCCAAAAACTTAGGGAGAATATTCAGAGTAAGTAGCCTCATTCTCCTCAAAACCCTTAGGATAAGAAAATTCTAAATCATGAACAGCAAAGACTTTCCCACATTAGCTCCTGAGAATGAAGTCTTGTGCTCTGTCTTAAAACTCCTAGCTCTGACCCGGACTAGAAATATCAGATGGCTTAGTTCTCCATCCACAGACCCAAGGTTATATGAACCACCCTTCCATCTTCCCCGTCCACTCCATTCCTTACCCACCACTCTTCTCCCTCCACTGTCTCCTCCATTATATCTCTGTTATTAATTTATTACAATTCTCCTTTCAATTTCTCCCTCCTCCATTCTCCCTTCTTTTCCCTCTCCTTCATCCTTTCTTCCTCTATCCTTCATTCACTCTCCCCTTCTTTCACCTTCCCACCGCTCTTCCTGAAACTCTAGCCACCCTTCCTTTTCATCATCTTCCCTATTTCCACCATTCTTCCTCCCAAATTTTTGGATTAAATGGAAAATAAACTCATTTTAGGGGAAAAAATGCTAGGCACCCACACAATAAGGATTACATCGAGCTCATGATTGGCCACCCTAATGCAGGGAAGCACGTGTATAACTAATAAACTGAATAACTGAGTGTCCTATTTTCTGGTTTAATGAAGCTTATTTGATTTCCTTCTACAGCAGGAGGCTTACCTTTCTAATTCTCTTTAGTTCAGAGTAGAAATTCCTTAATACTAGCCTAGGAACACCTGGAGTGAAGTCTCATTTCCACTATTTATTATCCATATGACTTTAGGCAGCCTACAACTTCTCTGAACCGTAGATCCTTCCTCTGTAATAAAAGTCATTTCACAAGGCTGTTGTAAGAATTGAATGAGACATTGAACACATGGTCGAGGAACTGAGAAATAAAAGGCCGAGAATAAGAAGCAGAGAAACAAGGGGTCTTCCAAGAACTTAGCTGAATCTTGAATCTTGTGCTCTCAGTATGAAGGCTGCAGTGGGGAATGAGAAACTCCACTTATTAGCCGTGTGACCTGTGGCAAACCACTTAACCTCTTTCAAGTTTCCATTTTCTCATCTGTATGGTGATAATAATAGTACCTACTTCACACAATTGTGCAGATGAAGACATGAAAAGTGCTTTGTAAACCTTAAAGCTCTACATGAATGCTAGCCATTATTTTCATTTTACCGATGGCCATTAGTAACAGCCAAGGAATATTTGTTCTTGTGATACCTTCATTTTTCTTGTCAACCTACTTAAACATACAACGAGCTAATTTCACTGAACCATAAGGAAGCCCTTCCTGATCTTATTGAAAGGACTGGTAACTATGAAGTCAAAAACAGGAAGACCATAGAGTATCAGGGTTCCAAATTAAGCCATCCAAATCACTGAAGGCCGCCTTCCTCGCCTCTACTACAAGGTCTACCATGAGGTTTTAAATCAATTCTACTGATAATAATCAAAAGTTCTAGGACAGACCTGACTAGACATTCTAATGATTAAGTTGCGGAAGTGGAATGAAATGAGATGCTTTGAGACCCCATAAAATTTAACAAAAGAACTTTTAATCAACAATACTATAGTAAGGATATTCAGCAAAAATGGTTGTTTTTCTATTGGGCTTACGGCCTTTCAATTCTGCATTTGTTATAATGGCGCATCCAGTCAGAAAAGTGTATTCATTCAAAATGGAGTGTGAAATCCATCAATCCTGAAGAGCTCAAACTACTTGTGTCCTAGGCTTTTATGCCATAAGCAGCTTCAAAGCTATATCAACAGGCAGCTAGGTAGCACAGTGGATAAAGCACTGGCCCTGAAGTGAGAAGGACCTGAGTGTGAATCCAGACTTAGACCAAACAAACACTTGACACTTACTAGCTATGTGACCCTGAGCAAGTAAGTTAACCCTAATTGCCTAAAAAAAAAAAAAAGCTATATCAACCATTTGCACCTTAGTCCTCTGTACCATGTCAATCTCAGAAAACATTTTGTTGCTTTTTAAAAGGAAAAAATGAGCTTAGGTGTTTTAAATTCTTTTAAAAGTCAACTTAAATTCTTCCAGGGGTCACACATGGAAGGCACAACCAGAGGGAATATGTATGGCCAGTGAACATGAATAAAGGTTGTACAACAGGTGGACATGTGCTCAAGGCAAACAAATGAAGGCAGCATAATGGATAGTGTACTGCAATCAGAAAGAAATGAGTATTTCTTGCCTCAAACACTTGTTGACTGTTCAAAATTTTCAGCCTTGGTTTTCACATATGTAATATGGGAATAATTTCACCAACTTCACAAGACTGATATGAGAATCAAATGAAATAATATATGTAAAGTCTTTTGAAAACTAAAGCACTATGTAAATGTTGACTATCAATAAACCTATTATTATGGAAATATATGTGGTTGGAACAATTCCATCTCCAACACTACATAGTTGCTGATATGTTTCTGTGATGTAACTGCACTGTTCTCTGCTTCTCCCTCATCTGAGAATCACATCCCTACAACTGGCCTTGTTGTTTCTCCTGAAACATCTTTGTTCTCTGTCAGGTTATCTCTGCTAGACATCTCTGACAGTCTTGCAGTCATCCAGCTCCCCTCTGCTAGCCTTCAGCTGTTTAGCTTCTTTAAGACCCATCTATTGCCCTCTACTACCACCTATTGGTGAATAATAGTTAGAATGCCTCTCCCTAGTAGGGAGAGCTATACCTCTTTCAGTGTATAACCACGAGCTATATACTACCCCATCTAGCCAGGCAGCTAATAACAGCAGGAAAAACAACAACAAAACCCAACTAAATCTATTCTTTTGTCAACCTCCCTCCCAATGCTAGCTTGAGGTCCTTGGTCTCAGACACATATATGACTTGGGGTTAGATTATCATTTTAACTCTTGTAAAATCCCTGATTTCAAATCAATATCCCCAGACTCTCTGGAGACTCCATACAAAATACTTGCAGGAGCCATGTGATAACTAGGGAGATAACGTTCCTTTCCTAACCAAGATCTTTTGGGATTGGTATGGAAATGAAGCTTAGGTAAAAAAGAAAGAAAGAAAGAAAGAAAGAAAGAAAGAAAGAAAGAAAGAAAGAAAGAAAGAAAGAAAGAAAGAAAGAAAGAAAGAAAGAAAGAAAGAAAGAAAGAAAGAAAGAAAGAAAGTAAGTAAGAAAGAAAGAAAGAAAGAAAGAAAGAAAGAAAGAAAGAAAGAAAGAAAGAAAGAAAGAAAAGGCTGATTGAAAGAACCAAAGTCATTAGTCCCTATGCCAGCTTCCCATTCCTTCCTTTATTACTTATGACAAAAGCCAGTGACTTTTATGCTGCATTTCAGCCAATACAAATCTCAGTGGTTAACAGATATTTCTTGAATTGAATTTATATCTGTAAAATGAGAAGATTGATAATATGATCTCTAAGATCTCCTCTCGTTCAAAGTCCTATAATACTATTATTCCCATGGTTACTTTGATCAAAATGGGTTCTCATTCCCTGAGTTATTAGAGTCAGTACAATACAGAACAATGTAAAAACCACTGGATTTGGAGTAAGAGGAACAAGGTTTAAATCCTGCTTCTTTCACTTGTGGTAAATGTGAGACCTTATATAATTCACTTAATCTCTCAGGGACCAAGTTTCTTCCCTTATAAAGTGAGGGTTTGAAGGCCCCTTCCAACTCTAGATCTATGATTTAGACCAGTGGTTCCCATTTAGTGGTTAGTGAGCCCCTTGGAAGCTCATGAAACTAGTTCAACTAATCCAGGGGTTTGTGCTAAAAATTATTTAATATTGCATTAAGCAGTAAATAATTGCTTGATTTTGTCATAAGTGTATATTTTCCTTTGGGACCACAAGCACGTGCACATTCAAAGCCTAATAGGTTTGCTTCTGCAGCAATTCCAATAGTAAGCATGTGAGATCTTGTCAGATTACCTCTTTGAATTCTTACAGAATGCCTCACATAAAATATCTATAATTATTTTATAAATAATATTTTATAATTTTCTATCTCTAGAGTTTTTGTAACTGTAGGTAGAATACAATTTTAGATTTTAATATAATTATACAATATGCATTTTAATTTGGATCTTCTGGAGGTAAAAGTCAATCACTGTAGTTACTGTAAGCACTTAATGAATAAATCTAAAATAATATTTAAGCAGTATATTAAATTGCTCCAGGATAACAACACACTGAATACAGCATATTTTTGTTATTGTTGTTGAAAGGGGTTCACAGAACAAAAACAAAAAACTATGAACTAAACTATAACAGGAATGGAGCTTCTGATTTGTGAGGGAAAGCCACTGCAGGACTGAAAATGTTACAGATAATCTACAAAGTTAATAATCCACTCATAATAATAATGATGATGATGATGATGATAACTAGCATTTCTATAGCATTTTCTATGTGCCAGATACTACACTAATTGCTTTACAAATATTATATCATTTGATTGTTGCAACTAGCCTTGAAGTTTTAACGTGTTGTAATGGGAAGGTCAATCGCCGTAGAATTATGCCCTGCTCTACCCACCTTGGGTCTTGAGTGGAAAAAAAAGTTCTGACTAGGGGACTTGGGGGACAACCATTTCCCTACCTATCATGAGCTGAATGACTGGGACACTAGCAGTAGGCAGATAAGGAGAGGATATAGTAAAGGGAGCATGTGTGAACCCCTATCCTATTCCACAATGGGAAATTGTGGGTAAGGGAAAGAGGAAAGGGAAGTTTAAGGGAACTGAGATCAAAATATCACATGCCAATTCTATTTGTTTAGTGGGAAAGCCTTGGTCATCTAGCTATGGAGAAAGGAGGAAACCATGAATCCTCAGAAACTCTGTGTGGCCAGTGGAATCAGGCTTGACTTCACAAAACTGCTTTTTGGATGAAAGCCAAGTTGCTAGAATTCTTCTCTAATCCCCATTTCTGGAATTCTTGGTCATTGAAGAGCCTCTTGGGGTTTTCAGGGACAGTTAGAATAAAGTCTCCTGCATTTTCCTTGATGGTTTAGTTAAATGAAGAACAAGAATGACTGGCTTTTACCAACACATAAAAAGCAAATGGTATCCAAGCCACAATTTTATGCTGCTTTGGCCTCCCTGGCCCTCTCATTCTTTCTGTAAGGGTGAATGGAAGGATGTAATAAATGAATGGATAGATGAATAAGGGGAGGGAGGAAGGGGGAAAGAGAGAGAGAGAGAGAGAGAGAGAGAGAGAGAGAGAGAGAGAGAGAGAGAGAGAGCATTCATTAAGTGCTTACTATGTTCCAGGTACTGTGTTATACATATGCAAGAAAACAAGATGGTCCTTACTCTCAAGCTTACATTCTAATAGGGAAAGATAAAATATAAAGTGGAGCTGGAAGTAGGGAAAGACACTGTCTTGTTCCATGGGCAAAGCAGCTCAAGGGGAGATGGAGCAGTCCTGAAAAGACAGTCAACCAGAAGTGAAGTACACAGCATAGCTAAGACTCCTCAGGCCATAGCAATCCCAGGAAAAGATTCACCAATCAGTAAGCAGTCCCCAGCAGAGTCCTAAACTGGTCCCCCTGCATCTCATTTTGCAAGCTCAGATTCATTCTGCGGGGCTGCTGGACTAATTTCCAAAAGTTACTGCTTTGACTCCTCTGCTCAAAAATATTCAATGTCTTTTTATCACCTATGTCATGACATCCAAATTCCTTAGCCTAGTCCTTAAGTCTCACCTTCCCCCACTATCTGTACCTCCCTTCCTAGCCTTGTCTGTCAACTCTGCTTGCTACAATAATAATAATTCAATATATCACTTTAAATTAAGCATCTTCCCTACATCCTATGAGGCAGATATTCTTAGTATTCTTATCTTAGTTTTAAAAATGAAGAAACTAAGGCTCAGGGAGGTTGAATGACTTACCCAAGATCATGCAGATAATAATCATCAGAGTCAGAATTCAAACTCAGGTGTATTCACTCGAAGGCCAGGATTCTAAGCTGTGCCAATGTGGTCTCCTCCACTCAAGCCACATTAATCTTCTCACTGCCGTGCTACCACACCTCCTGCTTTCCTATCTCTTTTGTTCCAATCATTCTCTACTAAAAATCCCTTCCCATATCCTCATGGCTTTTAAAAAATTTTTTCAATAACAAATATTTTTAAGCTAATTTGTCCTACCCACTATCCCTCCTTTCCCCAAATTTAGAAAATTAATTTTTTTAAATCCCCACAATACAAATCTATATAGTCCAGCAAAAGAAATTCCTATGTTAGCCATGTCCAAAAAAGTATGTCTCCTTCTGCATTTTAAATTCATCACCTCTCTTTCAGAATATGAGTGGCATGTTTCATTTTAATTCTTTGGATTCATGATTTATCTTTGCATCAATTAGGTTTCTAAAGCCTTCAAAAATTGTTTTTCTTTAGAATGTTGTTACTGTATAAAATTTTCTAGTTCTACTTATTTTACTTTTCTTCAGTTCATTTGTCCCAGTTTCTTCAGAAACTCTCCATTTCATCATTTGTTATGGTATAATAATTTAGCACAATTTGTTTAGTCATTCCTCAATAGGAGAATTATTTTATCAGAAATTTGCTACAAAGCTTTTTTCCCCATTTACCTGCTTCCCTTCTATTTTTTACTATATTAGATTTGTTTGTGCAAAATCTCTTTAATTTTATATAATCATTATCTATAATTTTGTTGTCCATTACCCAAAATTGTCCATTTTATCTTGTGTGATCCTCTCTATAACTTGTTTAGTCATGAATTCTTTCCCTATCAATAAATGCAAAAGGTAATTTCTTACTTGTCCTTTAATTTGTTTACAATGTGGCTTTTGTATCTAGGTCATGTATCCATTTGGAGTTTATCTTGGTATATAATGTAAGGTATTTGTTTACACCTAATTTCTGCCAGACATCTGTCCAGTTTTCCCAGTTTTTTTTTTCCTTAATCAGAGAGGGAGTTCTCCCCCTCTCTGGGATATTGAGGATATGCCACTGTGTTTGTTTGTTTCTGTATGATGTGTACTTAATCTCTTCCAATGATTAGCCTCATCCTCTCAGCTTTTCCAAATCCTGCCCATACTGCAAGGTCCAACTCAAGTTTAACTTCATTCATGAAGTATTCCTTGAATACCCCAC